TGATGTAGGTGGGGGCTCAAGAGTTTGGTTTTTTATTTTGTTTTTTTATTTATTTTTTTTAGTTGTTTTTAAAATATAAAATTGTGAGGCTAAGGGGTTGGTTGTAAGATTACGAGTAGCAGTAGTAGGAGAGTGAATTTTTACTCTTCGAATCTCTCTCAGTGCGTTTTATTTCCGTGTACCTGTAAATTTCATGTTTTTAATGGAATTTTTCTTTGCCGATCAAAAAAAAAAAATAAAAATAAAAATATTTACGAGACTAAGGCTTGGTTTGGCATGTTTAAAAAAAGTTAAAAAGTCAAAAAGTCACTATCCTATTTAAATCACATCATCTCTTTAATACATCACTTCAAACTCAACCCAAACCCAATCCATATTTCATAAAAGTCAAAAAAATGCACTTATTTAGATCATCCCAAACAACTCATAAATTACCCATAAGTCATGGGCATAAGATTTATTAATAAATGCCTTAAAAAAATCTGAAGAATTTTACATTGTAATAAAAAAAATGCCAAACTATTGTGTGAAAAAAATAAATAAACAAAACACAAGTTCATTGAATCTACCAGTTGATGACTAGCCTTGGACTATACATCATATATAAAATAAGCATTCTTGTATTACATCATATATAACAAGGTAATGCATAACTAACCACTGTCATTTTCAACCGAAGAATAAGATACCCTGTAAAATTATTAGATAATTTCAAAATATTATATAATATAATGGACAAACAAAAATAACAAAGCATACTGGTTACAAGAGTCAGTTTGTTCACTTAAAAAAAATCATTTAAAACACCACGTATATAATATAATACGATAATTGAGAATTATTAAATAATTTTACGTGTAGTTATTACTAATTTATGCCATGAAACATTAATACATCTCTTTCCACATGATGTACCCAATCATATCCATCATTTTCATATGGTTGCTACCAAATAGGTTTAATCCATCAATTATAACGATAATATCTTTTATTTAAATTGAAGTATTATACAAACAAAAATTCATATAATTTTTTTTTCTCTAGAATAATGTAACAACTCTCATTTTAAATTCAAAAACTCATCGCAATGACTTATATTTTAAAAAATGTAATTATTACATCATTCTTATAATAAATTTTGTATAATAATTATGCTTTTATATCATTTTATATATATAAAACATGCTTGGCAATGACATAAGAAACTTCAAGTAGTATACAAAACAAATGGGGTTGGAGTATTAGGTGGTGAAAAATTTTCCTTGCCTTTCTTATAAGAAAATGTGGAGAGAGAAGCAACCTAACCATGTCATACTTTTTCTTTGATACTTTGACAACCATGATCAACTGACATTAATTAATTAACTGCTTTACTCTATAACCCTAGGTTAATTTTACTACTGAAATTGGTGCAATTAACTCATTGAAGCTGCCGGGTAGTTGACGAGTGTTGCCATGTTAGTTTAGTTAGGAAGACTTTGCTTAATTATGGCTTTATATATCTTAATTAATTTGAAATTGTAGCTGTCTATCTCTTGTTAGAAAAAGGTTCCAAAATCTAACTACTCACTCAGGAAATAATGGTCACATTTGATGTTTGTCTTTCTTTAATGTACTACTATAATTGTCGGGTTTTTTTCCTTGTAGAGAAAGATACATGAACTGAAAATTTTGATCACCAAAATCATCAACTCTCACATTTGTCGGTAACTATAACTGTGCCTCTATGGTCGTAAATAAGACCTCGTTTGGAAATATGCTAATTTAGTAATTTTTTGGTTATTTAGCTAAAATATGAGCTAAAAAAAACTAGTATATTTGGGATATTTTTTGACTTTTTACGAAAAGATATGCAAAAAGTAGAGAAAAAAGAGAATCTTTGACTTTTTGGTATAGATTGTTGGATTCTTGACTAACAATTACGGCTGCACAACTCCCAATTCAAATTTTCCTCTACAAACCAATTTTTACAATTTTTTATTACATATTTTTCCATAAAAAGTCAAAAAGTTAACCCAAACATCCATATTTTCAATCTCAATTTTTTAGTCCAAAAAGACAAAAAGTGCACTTATTTAGTCTTCCCAAACTTGGCCTAGCTAAAATATGAGCTAAAAAAAACTAGTATATTTGGGATATTTTTTGGCTTTTTATGAAAAGATGTGCAAAAAGTAGATAAAAAAGAGAATCTTTGACTTTTTGGTGTAGATTGTTGACTTTTTGGCTAATTTAGTAATTTTTTGACTTTTTGACTAAACGAGAGGGTTTCCAAACGAGGCCTAAATATGAAAAGTCATTGGTAATCATTTTTTTTTTTTTTGGTCATCCTGGTAGTGTTGTTTTCACATCAACCTAGTTCAATTTGCAAGTCTTATGAATATATTTTAGAGACAATTACAGAAAAATAATATCAACACAAAATAATTGCTAAGTGGTGAAAGTTTAAGTAATTTATACATTAGATTATGCAAGTACATTTTATACTTTCACGAGTTTGCAATTATTTTATGTTGGTATTATTTTTCTGTAATTATCCTTATATTTTATCACAGTCTAATCTTCACATTAAATTACTATTATTTTTTTGTTAGGACTTTTCTTTGAAAATGACATTGAAATAGTTAAAATTTTATCCAATATTGTCAATTAATGTATTTCTTTTCCTCCACATATTAATCACAGAAAACATTTGTCATAATAATCAAATGGTAAAAGCCCGCCATTAATGGTTGTTTTGGAAATTTGATTTTTTAATAATTTTTTAACTTTTTACAAAATGCGTGTAAAAAAGCAAAGAGCAAAATTGATTTTTTTATAATAACTTTAACCTTGAAAATTGATTCATTCACACAATTTCTTTTCTCCCAAACCCCTCAAATAACACGACAAACAAAATTTGAAAAGTTGACCGCATTCAAATGTTCTCTAAAAATTCTCATTACATGTATTTTATCTTGCCGCCTCATTAGGGGATTGTGGAGGGAAGAAATTGTATAGATGTAACACTTTAACATTTTAGCTAAAATTGTATATTCCCAAAATAGGCCTAAATAGACTTTCACATAAATTGTTTTTTCAATTTAAATTCTTAAATTACTATAACTATCAAATATGGAAAAAAGAGAAAATAACAATTCAACATATAAGATTAAAAAAACATTATAAATTGGTGACAATCTTTTTGAATGTAAATTGTGTTCCATTTGCCACTAATATATATATATATATATAAATCAATTTTGGATCTTTACCTTCTCCTTTACATTTGTTTGAACCAAATGGATCCTCACGGATTGTTATATTAAGAAAAACATATACCAACCCACTTGTTAAATTCACTTTTCAAATCTAATAATATATATATAAAAAAATATAATTGATTATTGATTAAAAAAGATATGAGAAAGAATTACCTTAAATATTTTAATAAATTATCATATTATTAAATTTGAAAATTAAATTAAAATTTCAAATTTGAATAACACTATTATTATGACTGACATGGCAAATAAAAAAAAGTAACAACTTTGCTAAAATTACACTTGGTTACATTTTGGAAGAGAGAGTGAGTTGTCCACAAAATACGTATAAAAAAGTAGAGAGCATAGTTGATTTTTTTTTTTTTTTTTTAATAACTTGTAAAAATAAGAATTTACACATTTGCCGACCAAAAAAATTTTAGTTGCAAAAAAATGACGTTTGCCGACCAAAATATTAATTAGTCGCGAATGATCATTATTTTTGGCGACCAAAATGATTTAGTCGCAGAAGGTCATATTTTGGCGACCAAAAATGAGTTGGTCGCAGAAAGTGATATGCTTTTGGCGACCAACTATAAATTTGGTCGCGGAAGGTCACATTTTGGCGACCAAAAAAAATTAGTCGCCAAATTAGTACTTTTAGCGACTAATATTCTAATCGCTGTTGATTGAGATTTGGCGACTAAAAACGTTTGTCGGCGAAGGTAACTTTTTTTGCGACTAATTTAGTCTTTTGGTCGCAAAAAATTTGGGAGGGTAATTTGAAACGTGGGGTGGGAATTTGAAATTCGCCATTCCCCTCTGTCTTCCTCTCACACAAATTCTCAGACCACACTCGACCTACGACCACATTGATCTCTCGTTGATCCTCATATCCTCAGACCACACTCGCCATAAGGAGACTCTGAAATGTGTCCGTATACGCAAAGTAAGATCGTTTTACAGCTGATCCACTAACCATCCATATAAAATATCTCCCGCTCTTACTCTCTCTGTCTGAAAATTGTTTGAGTGCAACAGTCCATCTCTTCTCCACTTGCCCTTCATCAATCAGCAATCTCTAACAAATTCACAGTGCCTCTTCTTCTCAACTCTCACGATCTCTGAACTTTGTCACCAACAGTCAACTCTCCCTCTCTCTCAGTTGCATTCTCATGCTTTTGTTGTCATGTTCTTGTTCTCATGATCAATCGATTGATCTTTCACTCTCACCCTCACTCTATCTCAAACAATCAGATGAGGATAGAGATATGGGAATCCACTCTCCCGTCCTGATCTTCTTCACTCACATCCCAGACAATCTTGATGTGGCAAACTCGCTTAAAAGATTAGCATCTCGGTCTTCTTGGACGATCATAAGGTGATTTATAACCATTTTTTTACTGAATATGTACATTTTTTTAAATGCCCCAACTTAAATTGTTTGTGTATGTACATTTTTTTAAAAGCAAAACTTTAATAACAAAAGATTTGTGTTTTTTGTTTTTTGTTTTTTGTTTTTTTCTTGCCTTCAAACTGTTTAATAAAATGTCTGTTAGGCTTCTCAAAATTCTAAGCCACAAGCCTAACCCATTAATGGGTTCCATCAATTTTTTTGGTTTTCTATTTCTCTTCTTCTACCTTCAGTTCACTCTGTTTCTTTAGCCACCCATGAATTGTTGGTTTGGGAAGTTGTTATGGCTTTTCCATTTGGAGGTCTTTGGAATGACTTTTTTGATGTGTAGAATATGTGTAAAATCCCAGAATTGGGGATAATTGTGTTAGTTTGAAGTGTTTCTTTGCTTTAAATTACTTTACAATGCACTTGCTTAACCTATCAATGGTGTATTACTCAAGTAGGTTTAGGAAATAATATTAAAACCAAACTACTAACTCTTGTTGAAGCTGGTAAGAGATTCTGTATTCTTTTGACTCCATATGCAGATTTCTGTAAAGGAATGTTGTAATGAGGTTGCACAGTGTGCATTTGTTATTGATAAGATCTTAGAAATTACATCTGAAGGTTCATCTGCTAAGTGCTCTTATGGCAATATTGATGTTCTTTACCGGAGGCAGGTCAAGCATACCTTCTATAATGTTGAGTTTCCAACAACAAAAAAAGCTTTTGTGACTTTTCTGAACAGTTTGCGGCTCTGCCTTTCATACATCAGGTGTCGGGAAAAGTGTTTCAAGCAGCATTCCGAGACAGGAAAATACCATTCAACATTCATGGTGTGGCCTTCTATAGAAAAAAGGTTGCTGACTCCCCTGTTGTTCATAAATGGAAATGTTATTTGTTGATATCTGTAAATTTGTAGAGCTATACTGCCCTCCAGTAATCTTGTTGCTGGTGGATTGGAATTGGCTTTTGATTGATGCACTCAAAAATGCAGAATTCCTTCAGCTTTTCTTTAATGCCAATATTTATTTCAGAAACTACTGTAATTTGCAACAGTTTTCCTATATGATATGTGAGCACATCTTGTTCATTTGTTGTCCATTTTATAACATGCATGCACAGAAAGTTTAGCATGATTATTGGTTATGAACCAACAAATCTTTTCTTATGATAGGTAGTCAGAGCCATAATTGCTATGCTTAGAACAACGTTGCCTGGTTGTGATGATGGTTCTTTTTGCCGAGTGTTCAAGGCTTTACAGCCTTTTGACAAAGAAGAGAAGAAAAAGGTATTTGCTTTTATAATATTTATCTATCTCATTGTTCCCCAATTGTGTTGTTTGTGCCAAGAGAACTAAACTGGATTAAAGACACTGGAACAAAATTTACTTAAGTTGACCAACTACACCAGTTTTGTCCAACTAGATTCCTCATATATAAGTTCTTCAAATTACATTTAAAACATAAAAAATTTACAAAAGAATCTATGACTGACTAAATAGGTCCAACAAATTCATAGAAAGAAGCAGCGTTTCATTTCCCAAATCAGAAACACACCCCAACATGAGGTAAAGTGCTAAATGTTCTGATATGGTGCTAAATGTTCTGATATGGTGCTAAATGTTCTGATATGGTGCTAAATGTTCTGATATGGTGCTAAATGTTCTGATATGGTGCTAAATGTTCTGATATGGTGCTAAATGTTCTGATATGGTGCTAAATGTTCTGATATGGTGCTAAATGTTCTGATATGGTGCTAAATGTTCTGATATGGTGCTAATATAGAAATCTTCTATCTTTAATTTGAATTGATTTGACATTACATTTTCATTTTGACTATTAAACATGCATTAATAAACCTTTGTTATTTTATCCAAATACTTTATAGTTAAAGTTCCTACGTGCATTTTTTCTTCTAGTTTTTCTTGCAGATTCAAAAACTATTTGACTGTCAGCTGAATATATGTTTTGAGGAATTGATTACATTGTAGTTTTATAATTTTTATTTAGATATGTTAATGAGTTGCCACCATGTATAGTGAAATCTAGATTTTTGTTACAGATTTGATGTGAAGTTGCTTGTTTTTTTTTACGGCATTACAACATGTTGTTACATTGTTTTGCAATTGCTGAAATTGTCAATTGGAGAATCTTCAGAAGATCCAATATATTACGTTTTAATGCGACGCCCTAACAAGTAAGTACCAAAAACTTTGATTAATAATGAAAAAAAGAAAATTAGTGGTTGATTCATATTTAGATCATAGCTTATTGTCAATTAAATAAAGGTCGTACTCAGCACAAGACTCCCGCTTTGCAGCAGGGTTTGGAATTCAATTATTGATTTCTCTTTTACTGTCTTTCATGGTATTTGAGAGTGAAGCTTTTCTCCATTATCTTTCAATAGACCGTATTTAGTTATTTGCATTTAATGAAAAAAAGAAAATTAGTGGTTGATTCATATTTAGATCATAGCTTATTGTCAATTAAATAAAGGTCGTACTCAGCACAAGACTCCCGCTTTGCAGCAGGGTTTGGAATCAATTATTGATTTCTCTTCTACTATCTTTCATTGCATTTGAGAGTGAAGCTTTTCTCCATTATCTTTCAATAGACCGTATTTAGTTATTTGCATTGAGTAGGAGAAACATGATATAATATCCTGAGTGGATATATTGACCTACTTGTTGAGGTTTAGCCATGGTTACTAGAATTCCACATACCAAAACAATCATCTTTCTAGTAACATTGGTCCTGACTGGTTGAATGTAGGAATTATCTTGCTATCAGTGAATGAGAACAGAGAAATGTGGATTGTTATATTTTTGAAGTCGAATCACATTTTGGGTTAATTTGCTGCCCAAATTTCATAAATAATCCACAAACAATTCTCTACCACATTGAGTTAAGAAAGTGAGAAAATTTTATATTCTAAATCTATTTCTATATGTGTATTTGCATCAGTTTGAATAGTGTTGTATAAACATATTGTTAGATGTAATCATGGAAGTTGGAAATATATCATCAATGCTAGAGACAATGTTGTTTGCTGCATTTGGTAATCTTTCAAGCATATTAAGGTAACTCATTTGTTAGTTACCTTCTTCGGTCATATTGCCTCAAAAGTCCCTTGTTTGGTTATGAACTTATGAGAGAAATATATGCAAGGATTTTAAAAATGAATAAGATGACTGCATACTATTGTGTGAACATCCCCCTTTCTGTTTTATCGCTGGGCAACATCTTGATATTTACATGTTTCCTCATTCTTTTCTGGCACTCATTCTCATATAATGTGATTTTCTCCTGCATTAAGTAATTTTGTTATTTTAGGGATGGAATGGAACACAAGAGGAGGTTTTCTGTTGTAACTACAAGAATGATCTTCACTGCTTTGGGTTTTTTGATGCTGGGAACTTTGCTTTACACTCTCTTGACAGATGGCTCTCCATTTCGCACAGAGCTTTTGACACCGTAAGTTTTTTCGTTCTGATTTTGGATCCAGTAAATCAGACTATTGTTTTAGAAGAATGAAGATGTAGTTAAACCTAATCATCTTCCCTTGTTTCATCTTCCCTCAGTGGCAAGATTCCTTCAACGCTAGGACTGCTGCAGACTTTATGGAATGCATTCAAGGATGAATTTGTGTGAACATCCCCCTTTCTGTTTTATCGCTGGGCAACATCCTGATATTTACATGTTTCCTCATTCTTTTCTGGCACTCATTCTCATATAATGTGATTTTCTCCTGCATTAAGTAATTTTGTTATTTTAGGGATGGAATGGAACACAAGAGGAGGTTTTCTGTTGTAACTACAAGAATGATCTTCACTGCTCTGGGTTTTTTGGTGCTGGGAACTTTGCTTTACACTCTTTTGACAGATGGCTCTCCATTTCGCACAGAGCTTTTGACACCGTAAGTTTTTTCGTTCTGATTTTGTATCCAGTAAATCAGACTATTGTTTTAGAAGAACGAAGATGTAGTTAAACCTAATCATCTTCTCTTGTTTCATCTTCCCTCAGTGGCAAGATTCCTTCAATGCTAGGACTGCTGCAGACTTTATGGAATGCATTCAAGGTTGAATTTGAGAATGAAAAGAACATGCTTGGTGGTTCTTTAGGACGATCAAGCACACGGCTGATGTTTCAAAACCATATATATTCCTTCCTGTTTTAGAATTTTTTTGGGATTCTTTTATTGATTTTCCTTTTAATTTTTGTTCAATTACTTATTGGTTTTCAATGGATGGATGTTTAAAACTTGTCTCAATTAATGTTTTGAATGGAATGATTGTAAAGTTTGGGATTGAGCAGGAAAATATGATGAATTTTAATGTTATATTTGGATTGGGTTGGGTTGAATGAATTTTGTTCAATATTGGATTGAATGTTTATAAAAAAAAAATTGATTGTTAAAAAAAAAAGAAAAAAAAAAGAGATTTGGCGACTAACTAATTAGTCGTTGATTGTTTAATATCTTTTGGCGACTAAATAATTGGTCGCCAAATTCTACACTTTTGCGACTGAAATCATTGGTCGGCAATTCCTTACCTTTTGGCGACTAAATTATTAGTTGGCGATTCCTCAACTTTTGGCGACGAAAATAGTTTGTCGCCGATTTTTTGATTTTGGCGACAAACATATTTGGTCGGGAAAATATTACTTTTCGCGACCAAAGTGTTTTAGCGACTAAATGAATTAGTCGCGGTAATGATATATTTAGCGACCAAAAATTTAGTCGACAAATCCAATTTTTCCCGACCAACCAAAATTTTGGTTGCGAATTACTTTTACTGACCCTCAATTGAAGACCAAAGTAGCGACCAAAAAAATTGGTCGCGGATAACTTTTGCCGACCAAAAATAGGCTTTTAGCGACCAATTTTTTGGTCGGCAAAAGTGTTAATTCTTGTAGTGTAACTTCAAAAATTGATTCATTCACACAATTTCTCTCCCCTCCCAAACCCTTCAAATAAGGTAACAAATAAAATTTGAAAAGTTGACCCACATTTATATATTCTCTAAAAATTATCATTACATGTAGTTTGTCTTGTCACCTCGGGGGATTATGGAGGGAAAAAATTGTGTGGATGTAACGCTTTAACTTTTTAGCTAAAATTGTATATTTTCAAAATTGGCCTAAATAGACTTTCACATAAATTGTTTTGTCAATTTAAATTCTTAAATTACTATAACTATCAAATATGAAAAAAGGGAAAATAACAATTCAACATATAAGATTACAAAAAAAATTATAAATTGGTGACAATCTTTTTGAATGTAAATTGTGTTCCATTTGCCACTAATATATATATATTTGTTACAAAAATTAAAAAAATAAAAATAAATTTTGGATCTTTTCCTTCTCCTTGACATTTGTTTGAACCAAATGGATCCTCACGGATAGTTATATTAAGAAAAACATATACCAACCCACTTATTAGATTCACTTTTTAAACCCAATAGTATGGAAAAATATAATTAATTAATGATTAGAGAAGATATGAGAAAAAATTACCTTAAATATTTTAATAAATTTTAGTATCATTAAATTTAAAAATTAAATTAAAATTTTAAATTTGAATAACACTATTATTATGACTGAAATGGCAAATAAGAAAAGAGTAACAACTTTGCTAAAATTACATTTGGTTACATTTTCGAAGGGAGAGTGAGTTGTTCACTTATTTAAAAGCTCCATAGAATATGATATGATAATAAATATAGGAGATAGACAACCCAAAAGAAAATGTTTATATATATTATTTTATTTTATATCAAAAGAGAAAACCAAAAACAAAATATTTATATCAAAACAAAATATTTTTATATCAAAAGAAAGTGTTTACATATATTATTTTGAGTCTTGATTTGCCTTACTCTTTCTTGTTCTAAATACCGTCCAAGTTTCATCCATCAATTTCATTTTCCTTTCTTTTTAAGAAGATTTTTTTTCTTTTTTTTTAGAGAGGTTTAAATGTGGCACATTTTATCCAATGTTTGATATTTGCTTTTTGATGATTTTTTTTGTTGGTTTATTTTTGTTTTAATGAATTTTTATTAAAAGAAAATTCAAAAAATTTTAGACTTTTAGATTTTATGAGTTGAAAAATTAATTTAAAAAAAATAGAAAAAGACAAAAATAGTATTTTTTTTTGTGTGTGCTTATTTTGACTTTTTCAATTTTATTTATTTTTTTGAAAATTTTCAAAAAACAATTTCATTTTAGATTCGCCTACACAAGACGGGTCAAAAACTTAAAATTTTTTAGCATAATTTAAAACAAAAAAACTAAAAATAAAAAATTACTCCCTCCGTCCTATTTTGATAGTCCATTATTTCATTTTTTGTTAATCTAAAATACATGTCCACTTTGAAAAGTCAAAATTTTAAATTTAAAAGTGTTTAAAGTTATCCCTTATAAAGTAATTATAAATAAATTAAAAAATGAGAATAGAATGATATTTTTAGAATTAATGCTTTAAAATTTGAATTTAAGTAGTGTAATGATTACTTGGCCTATTTTGAGAGGTAGGTTAAAAGTTAATTTTTTAATTTTTAATTTTTTTTTAAATGTGCAAAAAGATAGAAGTGATGTGACCTAAAAAAAAAATCAAAATTTTTGACCAGATGTGATAAGGACCCCCACACCCCCACACACATTTGTGAGAGAGGGGGAGGAGAGAGAGACAGAGAGGAAAACATAAATAAATAAATAAATAATCAGTGATCATAAATCAATTGAGAGTTGTGGAGGTCACAAATTTTGGGGTCCAAGTATTATTCTTTTTTTGACGCCAAAATAGGCCTTATCTTCTTAAAAAATTAAAATTTTTCAAATTGAACTTTCAAATGAGACATGGAGTAAAATATAGGGGCAATTTATTTCTAATTTCCCAGACAACTTGTGATTTGTAACTTCCAAAACCAAACTCATCACATGTTACCCTCACAAAAACATTTACAAGATCAACTTGCAAGTAAATATGTGTTATCAATACATATATATCCCTGCCCCCCATATAGTATGTACTATGTATGTATATACATATATGTATACATACCTGTCAAATATCAAACCTCCCAAACAAACAACTCCATAACCAAAGAAACAACTAACAAATCTCATGCATGAAGGACTCATCAAAGAGCAATTCAGGCCAATATGAAGAACTTCCATCACCTCCACCTCCACCTCCATGGCTAGAACTGCTGCTGGCATCTCCTGGATTGCTTACCAAACTCTCACTCAGCATCGGCAGACGATGGCCAGACGAAGAAGAAGGAGATGGAAGAATCCATGGAGAGTGAGGTGGGTTATTATGATTATGATTATGATCATCTCCTTGGCTAATCATTATTGTAGCGTTGTTGATTCCTTGGCCCATTTCACTATTCAAAGGTGTTTGGAAATTGAAAGGGACTTGTGGGTCTGATGATGAGTTCATGATTGGATAGTGGAGTGGTTGAGAAGTTGCATTTTCAATGCCAAACAGAGCTTGATTCTGCAACACTTGTGTTGAATTGAGAAATGGGTTTTCTTTAATGGGAGGCATAGAATTCAATAAACTGAGATTTTCAATGTCTGTAATGTTGTTTTGGATGTGTGATGAGGCTGAAGATTGGATAAGATGTTGTAAGTACTGAATCTTAGCCAATTGAATAGCTTCTGCTTGTAACTTAACAGCTTCTTGTTCCAATGGGGGTTGATCAATGAGTTCCCTCAGGTTAGCCAGGGCTATCAGATGAGGCAGGGTAGCAAAGAGGTCTGTTCTCGGCCGGTGGGTCATCGGATCAAAACCCATCTGTATCAGCTTCTTCTTCAAATGTGTATTCCAGAAATTCTTGATTTCATTGTCTGTCCGGCCCGGTAGGTGAGTAGCAATTGCTGACCATCTTATGTACAAAAAAAGCAAAAGAGAGGATAAAATGGATAAGTTTCAAAATCAATCATACATGTGAAGTTAAAGAGTGGTTCCGATTATTTCATCAAAAGGAAAGGTTGATAATGTACTTGTTTCCAAGGATAGAGTGTAGATGCAGAATTGTTTGTTCTTCTTCTTGAGAAAATTTTCCTCTCTTGATATCAGGCCTCAAATAATTTGTCCACCTTAACCTACAACTCTTGCCACATCTGTTGAGACCTGCATGCAAAGGCACATAAAAATTTAGAAAACATGCATTGTTGTGCATATATACAACTTACAAGCAGACTCGGGGAGAGGGTGCTAGAGATCCAAGTCTCTAAAAAATTTCTGTTCCTAATGCACACTGAACTACATGATATGACAAGAATAAAAATAAGAAGAAAAAAATGGAAAATGAAATACGGCTTATAAGAATATACAGAAGAAAAAAAAAAGTTTATGCATATATAGAAATTGGCTTGGGAAGAGAGCTAAAGATCCTTCGTCCCCAAAATTTATATTCGTAATGCACTATGAGCTGCATGACATAATGATTTGACATCAATTTGAAAAAAGAAAAAGAAAAAAAAGAGGCATGATCAAATGATTGATTGAGAATTAGGATAGAGTGATAGGAATATTGAGAATAAAGAATCCTATGCCGCTACGGGATAGAAAGTTTAGAGTGTTTGTTATTTTAAGGATCACCTGCAAGGTTGGGAAGAGCTCTCCAACTTCCATGGCCATGTTTATGGATGTAATCAACAAGTTTCTGATCTTCTTCGGGTGTCCAGGGTCCTTTCTTGAGGCCATTCTCATCACTAGGGGACCTGCCCATTTCTATGTTTCAATTAATTTCTTCGTTTTTTGAGTTTGATTTGTGCTTATGCTATGCTACCTCAAAATTATAACCACACCTCTTGTGTTGTATTTATATCCCACCCTCTCGTGCGACTTGTCTCCTGCCCTTGCTTAAATTAATTAATTAATTCCAAAAAATAAAAAATAAATTTAAAATAATATATTAGCAAGAGATGTCATTTTCTTGCCATTTGACTACTTTAGCAAGAGATGTCATTTTCTCTATAAAATGATAAAAATATCCCTAGCCTATTAAAATAATATATAATAATAACTATATATTCATTACCCATAGTCAAGCAGCTACTTCGTTCCCCTAGCTAGCACCTACAATTCATTTCATGTCATAGCAGCTGTATTTGCCCTTGATTAAATTAATTAAGGGTAAATTACGTTGACACCCCTTGAAGTTTGGATCAATTATTATCTACCCTTTGATATTTTGAAAATTATATTTTTACTCCTATGGTTAATAGTTTCATTTCACAACCCCCTACTTATATAAAAGGTAACAACTCCTAGTAGAAAAATCGAAGAAATTACAATGATAGGGGATTAGTGTAAATTACAATGAGAGAGTGCATGAGTTCAATATCTTCATTCCGTCTAAATAATTACAATGATAGGGGATTCCCAAACATCAGGGGTGATATGTATTAAACCTAAATCTCAGGAGTGTAAGTGTAATTTACCCATTAATTAATTAATTCCAAAAAAAAAAAAATTAAAATGATTTGATACTTTCTTCCCCATTTGGCTACATTAGAAAGAGATGTCATTTTCTTTATAAAATGACAAAAATATCCCTATCCTATTAAAATAATATATAATAATAACTATATATATATATTTTTTGTTACAGGAAAATCCTACCTACTCACCCTTTCGCAGGTCCAAGGCAGTGCCCCTTGCAGAGATTACCAGGGTATCCTGTTAGCCGTTCCGAGCGAGGAGACTATAACTTGGGAACTTGCTCCGACCTCCCAAGACAAGCTCCGCTTAAGTTAGGACTCGTACAGCGGGGGAGTGTTGAACCACACAAAGTGCTGATTAGACAACTTGAGATCCAACCTCCTAACTAACTGTGCTTCGCCCAGGAGATTGGTCCACAGGATAGGGAATTGAACCTGTGACCTTAAGATTTAAACCCCAAACCTTAACCACAATGCCACCCACCCCTAGGCTAATAACTATATATTTAGGCCTAATTTGAAAAGACTAAATAAATGTATTTTTTTACTTTTTATGAAATATGCATAGTCAAGAAGCTACATCACCCCCTAGTTCCTACAATGCTTTCTCTCATAGCAGTTGTATTACAGCAGTCTTTCGTCGTCTCCTAAAGCTAGAGTTTTAATCCAACTCTAGTGATATGAAGAATTTTAAAAAATAAAATAAAAAATTACAGCATCATATTAAATGAGATTTATACACAAATTAAAGTTATTAAAGCTCTTTTCCTAAAACTCTCAAACATTTCTCATTGTATTATTACTAATATTTCAGAGATTTTTTTTTTAATTTTATTATATAATTTTTAGAGTTTGTGTATCATTTAATTTGTAATCAATATATTGATAGTGTGACTGTTATCACATTATACTTTTTCTGAATTATATAGATTTGCAATGATTTTGATCAAATAGAAATACACATAACCTTCCTTTGAGTTCTACATTTTAATCCTACTCCACTTCTTATGATTATTATATCTATTGCTATGACACTTCACTTAAGATTGATTAAGCAGTAAAAATTTAAAAATAAGATTTAATGTCTTGAGTTTGAATCATTCTTAAGAATTATTGAAAGTTTGTCTGATCGTTAATTTTAAAATTTTAAATTAATCGAGATACGCACAAATAGACTCCTACACTCAATTATCAAAAAATGTGAGTGTATATTGATATATATAAATCGTCTAGCCTTAGACAACAATTTTCACTCACTGCAAGAGACATGCAATGAAAAAAAAGACCATTTATACAAAATATATATAGAAAATCTCACAAGCATGATGTGCAATTATATTTGTAATAATAAATTATTGGATAAATTATAAATACATTCCCTGATATTTGATTAAAATACGAATCGCCCCCCGTGATTTTGGAAATTACATTTCACCTCATGAGGTTTCTAATTTCATAACAAATCGCCCATTTTATTAATAAATCATCAAGTCAATTAACAGTTTTTAATGATGTTAAAAATATTTTTCAATTAATAATTTAGATAATTTTATTATTGTATAAGAGAGCAATTATGAATTTCATTTTTTAGTTAAGTCTATTAAATAAAAAATACTAATAATAAGGTATTTGTAATTTTCCAAACCACAGAGAGCAATTTGTACTTTAAGCAGATCTCATCAGGTATATTTGTAATTTACCCTAAATTATTTTGATAGGTCTTTTAGTTTAAAATAAATGGATACAAATATGTCGTTTTGTACAACTATTATGTATAATTTTTTAGATTATTTATGATTTAAGAGAGTATTTATGATAAATTATAAATATATTTTTTGAGATTTACTTAAATTATGAATTGCCTCATGTTGTTTGGAAAGTTACAAATACCTTTTTATCAAAAAATTTATTTAGCAAAATTAATTGAACATCAAAATTCCTAATTGCTCTTCTATACAATAATAAAATTACATGAACTATTTATTGAAATAAATTTATGATATCATTAAAAACTATTAATTCATTTGATAATTTATTAATAAAATGGACTATTTATTATAAAATTATAAATTTTAAGGGGCAAGATCTTTTATAAAATTATAAAATTATAAATTTAATAAAATGAATTATCCTCTGTAATTTTAAAATTAATATCTAAATGTTAATTTTAAAATTACAGAGGATAATTCGTATTTTAATCATATTTTAAGGAGTGTATTGTAATTTACCGGAGCACTTATCAATCATTCTGCCTGGTTGAGTTTTCAAAATCTGTAAAAATAGTTTGGTTAAAAACAATACTAATAATGTTTATATGGTTTCTTTTTTTGGAGCAAAAATAATTTTTTAAAGTTTTAAAAAGTGAATAATATAGTTTGTAACAAAGCATCGCTGATGGTGTAACACGTAAAGGGCCCCTCGTCAAGCTAATCCATGCATGCACGCAACAAAGCTCCTTTCGTCATTCATTGCATGGTTTCTAGAATTACTTAACGTGTTATGTGCAACACCAAGTATATTTTGGTTTGATTTTGTTTCTTGGAAAAATAAAAATGTTATATTATAGAGGGGTTATATAAAAAATAAGTGATGCTAAATCTTTTAATAAATTACTTTCATTTTGATTTCTAATAAAGTGCAAGAGAGAGAGAATAAAGAAAGATAGAGGAGGGATGAGGAGTGTAAAGTCTGCCTTCCACGTCATTGGGGATGGATTGAAGTGCTCAATTACAATTCCCAAGCATTTTTCATATTATTAACCACCAATCGTGTTATATCCCTACAAAAATCTCACACAAAAGCAAATCTTCACAAATTCTTGCTTGTGAGAGTCTATTCACTTACTTTGTAGCATTAAACTTTTACTAGTAAAAATCTATGAAGGGATAGTTTTGTGGGACAAAATTGTGGGGATGGATCATTTTCCTATTAACCACTAACAGCAAGTATAATTGTTTATATCAAATGAGAGACTTAAATTGAAATAACATACATCATTATGGAGCAATGAATTTTTTTAAAATATTTAATGAAAAATAAAACTTAGTTATTTATATTGAGAATAAAATGAGATTTATTGATAATTTTTTCTAATTAATATTCTCACATGGCTATTCACTGCTAGTTTTTAAAATAACTTAATTGAAATGGTAAATTACAAATTCACTCATTGAAATTCGATTAAAATATGAATTGTCTCTTGTGATTCTGGAAATTATAAATACCTTCTTATTAGAATTTTTTTATTTAACAGAATTAGTAAAAAAATAAAATTTTCTAACTACTGTCCTATACAATAATAAAATTATCAGAATTGTTAATTGAAATACATTTATGACATTATTAAAATCTGTTAATTAACTTAATAATTTATTAACAAAATGGATTTTTCATTATGTGTTTAGAAATTAAGGGATAAGATGCAATTTTCAAAATTACAATAAGCAATTTGTATTTTAAACAAATTTTAAAGGTGTAATTGTAATTTACACTAATAAAAATGGGCGCAATTGTTACTTGAGTTGAAATGTGATGATTTGATTGGGACTATTAAAAATTGAAGAAACAAAGTAAATTTAGTACTCCTATAAAATGTGTGGGTGCAAAGCAAAATTTATCCAAAATATAATTAACCCAATAATAAAAGTTTGTTGATTTGGCTTAACCGATGAAGAAAATGAAAGTTGGAACCGTTAAAACCAGGCCGGGTTGACCTGTGAGTCGCAATGGAGTAAAGATTGAAAGTCCTTCATGGATGACCTAATGAAGACTACGGAATGCATAACTCTTCAAGCAAACCAAAGGAGCTTAAAAAGTATCATTTGAGTATCTCTTTGCTTTATATATTTTTAAATAATTGTAAAAAAAACTCTGATCAAAATGGGAGAAAGAAACTTAATAGATGAAATTTTGTATAATGCAAATAAAAAATTATTCAATACGTTTGGAATACTGTTATGCATGTGCATAAGGAATGACGTCTCAAAAATTAAACAAAGATAAAATTATTTAGATTAAAAAGATATTGATATTATATAGATTTTAGGGTTAAAGCGCTAATTCAACCCCCCCCCTCCGGGGCGTATTCGATTAATGAAATTATGTAAAAGGAGATAGATGGTGTTGATTTTATCTAGTAAAAGCGAGTTAGGTCAGTTTCTTCCATGAAAAATATGATGTTAGCATACCAAGGCCTTATTTGGCAATTTCTAGATGAACAACTTTTTGATTAAGCCAAAAATAAAAAGCATATATGGTTAGCTTAAAACAAAGTAATTTTTTTTTTGAAAATGTCAACAAAATTATATGAAGATGATTTTACTCTCAATATTTAAAAAAATAA